TGGGCCCAAAGACCCCGAGGGGACTCCTGCTGGAGAGAGCCCACAGCAGTCAGGAGAAGAGGGGCAGGTGGGGGCTCACGGGGGAGGTCAGTCTCGGGCATGCAAATAGCACCTCTTTCTCCAGAGGACAGGGGACGAGGAAAGGAACAGGTAAAGGTGTGAGCCACAGGTAGACAGCAAGGGGACATGGGCATCCAGAAAAGCTGATGGTGTAGGTGGTGGCAGAGGGGCCAGCAGGGAGGAGCCATAGAGAGAGTGGCCACTCAGGACCCCCTTAAGTGCCTGTGAGCTTCACGTGGGGCAGGAGTGCAAGGAGCAAGAAGGACCAGTGGTGGCCAGACTTTCCCAAGGTTCCAGGCCATTGTCTGTCCCCACTTTCCATTTTTCATTTTGAAATATTTTACATTTACGTAGAAGTTGCACCAGTAGTACAGTGCATTTCCAGGCCATGTTCTGACCCTACCCATTGGCCTTACTTATTCAAGTCATTTCGTCTCCTTAAAGCAAAACTCCCAAGCTGTCTCCCCAAGCTCTGAGCCTGTCATTCTGCTAAAAAACCACAGTGCACACTCACAAAAGCCACAGTCCTTGACTACATCCGAGGCACTTATGATCTGGCCTCCACCCACCCTTACTGCCCAGTTTCCCTCAGGCCCCCTCACCCTGACCCTCCAGCCCAGCGCTATTCAACCCCAACACACCACATCTGTCTCCCTCTCTAGAAGACTGAACCTCTGAAGGAAAGGGCCCAGTTTCCCTCAGGCCCCCTCACCCTGACCCTCCAGCCCAGCGCCATTCAACCCCAACACACCACATCTGTCTCCCTCTCTAGAAGACTGAACCTCTGAAGGAAAGGATCCAGGCCCCAGGCTTCAGTGATCTTTCAGTCTTCCCCGGTGCCTGGCAAACAACAAATGAATGCCTTCAGAAAGCCAAGCCCAGCAGCGATCAGGAGAGACCAGGAAGAGGTGACATCAGGGGTATCCATTGATTCACAGCGGGCCCAGGCCCCTGGAGGCTGAGATCCCCTAGACCCGAAGCCAAACTTCAATCACCCTCACCAGAGACCTCTGTCCATCCCCTGCTCGCAAAGAGAAGGACCCACACAGGTGGGAAAAGAGAGTGAGGTGGAAAGAAGGTCAGACGGGACTGTGGTGGTTTGATCTGTCCCATAAGGGGACTGTGCTGGGGGCGCATTCAGCAAGGTCATCTGGAGCAACCCTGGGGGGGGG